ACATCTCATAGTTACCCACGCGACATCTCATAGTTACCCACGCGACATCTCATAGTTACCCACGCGACATCTCATAGTTACCCACGCGACATCTCATAGTTACCCAGGCGACATCTCATAGTTACCCAGGCGACATCTCATAGTTACCCAGGCGACATCTCATAGTTACCCACGCGACATCTCATAGTTACCCACGCGACATCTCATAGTTACCCACGCGACATCTCATAGTTACCCACGCGACATCTCATAGTTACCCACGCGTCATCTCATAGTTACCCACGCGACATCTCATAGTTACCCACGCGACATCTCATAGTTACCCACGCGACATCTCATAGTTACCCACGCGACATCTCATAGTTACCCACGCGACATCTCATAATTACCCACACGATATTCATAATTACCTACGTGACATCTCAATTTTTAGGTAAACTGGATATGGCATGAAATATTTATTGCATTTTACTTTTATTAACAGGTCATTGTCGAAGTGTAGTTTATGCAGGGTTACCATGGTCTATGCATTCACATGCTGTATCATATAAAAACGATTACCAGTATTCGTTAAGCAATGATCAAAGACCATGTTTTTTAATTAGTGGCATTTTGAAGGGGTAGCTTTGCCGAATGTGACCTCGAATATAAAATTGAGCAAAAATGGGGAGATGGGCATTTAACCGGGCATGGGCGCTAACGTGGTCCAGTACGGTACCCATGTGACATCTCAATTACCCATGTGACATATCATAATTACGCAAATGACATTTCATAATCACCATGAAATCTCTCATGGTTACCCACATGACATCGCTTATTTGCCTTATAATCATCCAATCCAAGATTGTTTTTAATTACTGATTATAACTTACTGCTCTTTGTGGTCCTCGATGACAGCAAACAGCACGACAACATAAACATGCACTGACGATAGTAATGATGGTAACTACAATCGATATAATCAAATTCATACTATGGAAAGCAACACAGGTTCTCTAAGAAAAAAAACAACAATTTTTGGTTAATTGTACACATACATGTAGCATATCAATGAGAAAACAAGATTTGTTTTCCAAAATTTTTCATTTTGCCATTAAAATGGTGCTTTTATTTTGATTTGTCATGAACACTGAATTTTTTTGGACAAAGAAACTACAAAAAATAGCAGTGTGTTAGCTGATATACGTATAGTCATGCTGTTTAAGATGCATTGAAAAGAATATCAGCGTAAACAGTTTAGGCATTTTCAAGAAGAAGCCAATTTCAGACAGATGCCGAAATACTTTATTTTAGCTAGAATTAATTTTCGCTAAAAAATTTTTTTTTTTTTTTATTTTTTTTATTTTTGATGAGTTGAATGCGAGACATAGAAAAAAAAAGTATATTCGCTGGATTTTATTTTCACTGAAGCATCCCTTCAGCAAAAAATAAATTCCAAGCAGAAATAAAGTATTCTACAGTAACCAGAACATGATGCAAGACTTATAAATGCAGGCCTATAAATTTGGTCAAAACAGTTGAAGAGAATATTCACACCACTATGCCTGAACAAAAAAATATGGCTGCCTTTTTTGTAATCAAATCCAAAAAAATAAATGATGAGCTCAATCAGTGACTGCAAGCATGAGTAAAAACACATGGATATCTGTACCATTATGTCTTGCCTTTGTACCTAATCAGTCATTTTACCCGCCCTGACTGATGTCAAGTTTGAATTCTTTAAAGAATTTCCAACCAAAGTTCTGCCCTGTGTAATACTGTAAAATACTTTATTTTAGCTGGAATTAATTTTCGCTGAAAAGACATTTTTGGTGTTTTGTATGGAATTTATTTTCACTGATTTTTGACAAGTTGACTGTAAAATATAGGAAAAAAGGTATATTCGCTGGATTTTATTTCAACTGAATTATTCCTTCAGCGAAAATAGCGAAAATTAATTCAAAGCAAAAATAAAGTATTTTACAGTACTAATCGAAAAACTGATAATAAAGTTGATAATTATGGATCTAATATGGATCTAATTAGCAGATTACGATTAAATGTGCAATAACTTGGCTTCTTCGTACATGCATAACCCCTATTGTCAAGTGATTTAGGGATATTATATATACTTACAAAGTGACTATAATCACAAGGACTGTAACCCCAATAATGATAGATACACCCCTCTTCGCTAGCAATACCAACTGCAGACAATGGCAGCAAAGCTGTTCCAGCCATTGCAGCGGCTATGATTGATAACACCATATTTGCAATGATCTACAAAAACAAATTCAATTTTATGAAAGGCATATGAAGTAAAATTATTTCAATAAAAATCTAAACAGACCTGTAGTAGAATCCACAAATTTTAATGCTATACTAATCACGTCTTTTGCACTGCCCCCATGTAAAATGCACTTAATATTGATTCTCGAGAAACTAATTGCAAAGTGAGAACATGTTATTGTGATGCAAATTAGCTCATTAGTATGCACATGTTTTGTGGGGAGGACTGGGGAATAGGGTTTCACACTTATCTTAAGTCCAATGTGCGCAAGACACGGGACAAGGAAATGTCAATTAAGGGAACAGGGAACAAGTATTATAAAACAATATCAAATAACTTGATTAAATTTATCAACCAAAAGGGTTACATGATTGTACTCATGCGCTAAATCAAGGCCTTTTATACCTTGGTAGGGTAAAAATCTATATCTAGGTCCTCAAAGGATATAGTACTGTAAGTATACACACACACACACACACACACACACACATAAAGAAGGTAAATGCAAAGATTTCCATCGTGTGCTACACACACTGGAGTCAAACAGGGAACCATTATTGAAATATTTCACAGCTATTCTATCTATTGAATATAAACCTAAATTCCCAATTTTTATTCATTTCTAAAACAAAGTACTTTTTTTATAAAATGAAAAAAAAAAATTATATAGAGGGTAATAATCATTCGATAATAATTTGTAATAATTTCCAAACAAAACTTTGCGATATGATAAGGAGATTGGCCATTTTTTAGAAAGCAAAATAAAGTTCATATTATTTAATCTTGTTATGTGAAGAGCATAAATCTCATTAATTAAAGTTAATCTAATAATCTGTGTTAATTAGTTATTCTTAATTAATTGGCCCACCACGTAATAGAAATTGTGATTACTTCCTCACAGTATTTCAACTTAATTATTAACTCACCGAGCAGTTACTCTTCTTGAAACCAGACACACATACTAGTATCCCAGTCACAATTACCTAGAAATATTTAAAATTATACTATTTGATTAACATTCATCCACTACTGAACTGTGTTTCTACTCAATCACACAGCGGGTCTTGAGCATGTTGTTTGTAAATAATCAATGTCAGTCACTATGTTATGCTATTGCCTTCATTGATCAGTTAGTAAGTGATGCTATTGCCTTCATTGATCAGTTAGTAAGTGATGCTATTGCCTTCATTGATCAGTTAGTAAGTGATGCTATTGCCTTCATTGATCAGTTAGTAAGTGATGCTATTGCCTTCATTGATCAGTTAGTAAGTGATGCTATTGCCTTCATTGATCAGTTAGTAAGTGATGCTGTTGCCTTCATTGATCAGTTAGTAAGTGATGCTGTTGCCTTCATTGATCAGTTAGTAAGTGATGCTGTTGCCTTCATTGATCAGTTAGTAAGTGATGCTGTTGCCCTCATTGATCAGTTAGTAAGTGATGCTGTTGCCCTCATTGATCAGTTAGTAAGTGATGCTGTTGCCCTCATTGATCAGTTAGTAAGTGATGCTGTTGCCCTCATTGATCAGTTAGTAAGTGATGCTGTTGCCCTCATTGATCAGTTAGTAAGTGATGCTGTTGCCCTCATTGATCAGTTAGTAAGTGATGCTGTTGCCCTCATTGATCAGTTAGTAAGTGAT